TAGGGTTTAGGGTCTAAAGTCCTCAAAGAGGGGTATATAGGGGATTATATAGGGGAGTGTTAAAGGGGGTATTAAGGGGCATGCTAGGAGTTTTGACTATAGCCCATGTGGGGGCTTCTCAAGATTCAAATGCCTTCCCGGTACGGTTTAACACACCTCCACCCTGATAATACATACCCCCAAAGGAGCACAAATCACCATAGACCGTCAACTCAAGACAACCTAGTATCTTCCAGCTTCTTCTCCAATATTCATGTACATGATGGCTCCTAATATCAAATACTCGCAATGCTCATCATATAAGAAGGCACGCGTTTATTGTTCCCATGCAGGTGGTGAGTTCTGAGGGGTAGGGGATTACTTACCTGGAGTGTTTGGAGCTAGCCTAAGCAACCAGTACAAACTCTTGCACGACAACACTGATTAGATATTGCCCGCGCTCAACCGTGTTTCATGTTTCTTTGGTTCTTGCATGTGGGTGGTTGTCAAAAGTATGGTCCCTTTTTGGGTACCCTAAATATTAGGTGCCGTATTATAATAGGGACCCAAAAAGGGACAAACCCTAAACCCTAAACCCTAAGCCCTAAACCCTAAACCTTAAACCCTAAACCCTAAATGGGACCATAATTTTGACAACCACCCATGTGCACTGCCGGGTGCGTGCTCCGAACTGGAAAGGTCTAGCAGGGTCCAGTTGCTTCAACCATGCTTGCCCAGCATTCATCCACATGGTAGTTTCTCAAAATAAGGGGATCCCAATATAGACCCCAATATACTATAATCTTTGTTATTGGGACCCCCAAAAAGGTACCCCTAATTGTAGGACATCCCCACATCAAGACTAGAATCTGTTATCATTAGTACCACAATTACCACTATGATTACTACACGTACTATTACTATTACTATTACTAGTACTAGTACTAGTACTAGTACTAGTACTACTACTACTACTACTACTAGAAGTACTACTACTACCACCAGTATTCCAATTATTTTTGTATTCAGTATTGTTGTTATTATCAGGATCTACTTCATGCTCCGTGCAGGCCCCACATGACATGAAAGGAGCTTAGGAAAGGCCGCGTACAAGCCCCGGATGCCTCCCAAAACTGGGTTGCTATCAAGGAATGTAGATTAAGCCACTACATTAAGGAAACCCTACTATATACGATATACCCACAATATGGTAACTTCAGCCTTAAACCTTTATACACATATTAGGGCAACTTAGTTAGATTCTTTTAACTAACAGCAACCCCGACAATGCAAACCCTTTTCTTCATGGCTACTGCGAGCCACGATTCTCCCCAAGCACCCAAAAATCTCGTGAAACTCTAGAAATACTGGGCTTTAGGGTTACCCGGCCCCATGACACAAAGCCCCGAAAATCCGTAAAGCCTTGAACTTCAGACCCTGTCCTGCTTCAATGGTCTTATCCGGGATCCTCGAAGGGCAATTTAGAGTTGGTCATTGATGTGGGAAGGAAACCTGGTATCCCCAGTATTCATTGTAATAATTGGAATAGTAGTAATAGTAACTAGTAGTAATAGGAATATTAATTAAGATAATCAGAACCGAAGGGGTCATTGTTGGTCTTGCTTGGTTGGTGTTGGGCAATCAGAGATAGAACCTCTGACCAAACAAGGGAATGAGGTTTGTAACGAACCCCTCAATCATTTTGACTAATTATCTGGGTTGCTTTCAAGGAGCTTAATTTGAATTACCATAATGGGTATACATAGTGAATAATAGGGTTGAACTTAAATTAGGTTCCGTAACAGCAACCCAGATTATGGCCTGTACTTGGTCCTTGGTTTAAACCTTTTGGTTAGATCTACTCCCACGAAGCATGCCTTCTGGGCTAGCTACTGAGTTCCTGGCCAAAGGTGGAAGGGTTTAGAGCCTAGGTTAGGGTTTCAATGTTCAAGGCTACCTACCTAGCTACTAGGATTGCGAATGTTGGGGCACGTGGGCTCCAGGCTCTATTCGGACTTAGCAGGTTCTGATGTTGCAACCTATCGCCTACCTAGGGGTTTAGGGTTTAGGGTTTAGGGACAATGCCATTCACTCAAAAGGCCTTCCAACAGAAATGGATGGTGGATGTCATTGCCCTGGTTGATGGTAACATGCATGTGGGAGCGCCTTACTAAACCCTGAACCCATTGCCAAGTGCAACCAGGCAGTGTGGACACATTTTTTGAAAATCAGCTGCAAGCAAAGCCAAATAGAATCTTTGCTCTGGTATTACGGAGACAATGTTATCAAGTAGCATTCTTTAATGGTTTAAGCTAGGTTGCAACGCCCTGCCACACTCTGAAACCCTTACAGTACAGCTTCGATTTCTCCAAGACGATCCCTGCGAAGACATCCCTGCAAAGACCCGTCTACTGCAGTATCATCCCCATGTTACCCCCTGAACCTAAACCCTAAACCCTATACCCCTAAACCCTAAACCCTAAACCCTAAACGGGGTACCTGAAGGGATCCTTCAACTATGTGACTATAAAGAGACTAGAGGGGTGCCCCCTCAAGGATTCTACAATGATTATGTTGAGGCTTCCTATATGGGGTTTAGGGTTTAGGGTTGAGGGTTAAGGGTTTAGGGCCCTAATGTACTCTAAAAAACTATAATCCGTGTTTTAAGCGCTTACCAAAAAAGCCTGAAATCTGGAAACCCCCATGTGACCAAAATTCCTTCAAGACCTCCAAACCCTAAACACCCCAATCACCTAACCACCTTAACCCTACAACCCTCAATCTTTAACCTTAACACCTTAACCCCCGGCAC